AAATTCTTTAAAATTCTTTCCTTTTCCTGAGGAGACTGGTGAGGCCCCGCCTCCCCTGCCTCTAGTGACTGCACGTCCCTGCTCTAATCACTGTACTTATATGCTACATGAAGAACTAGAAGTTGAGTCTGCATTTTGCCTATTTAATCAGAAAGATTAAAGAGTCCCATCTCTCTAAAAGCACTGGTATATATGCCATGTGAGGCATGATAGTAGCAGGAAGTACCAGGATGCTACCTCACAGCAAAACTTCACAAGAGTGTGAGGACATGAGATATCTGAAAAGAGGTAGGACTTCCGCCCTTCCACCTTGTGAATCTCAGCCATCTGCCACAATATCGAATAGAGCAAATTAATGCAACAGTGGCTTTAAAAACAATTATCAATATTTCTAAAATGCTGTATATACATACATGTATGTGCATATATAAATGTATATTATTATGCCTGTGTGCATTTGAACTTTTGATGTGAACAAAAGTGTTTAGCTTCACCTTTTCCCTATTTTCATCCATTTTCAAATACTCACTGTAACTGTAAAACTTAAGCTGCAGCGTATACACCATTGATAACAACAAATCTGCCAGCTCAACTTGACTTGTGTTTATGTCTTATTTCAAATACCTCAAGAGAGGAATAGCTGAACAAAATAATAATAAAGGGCTTTGCATATGATGCTACACTGGTAAGGATATATCTTATATAGGACAAGTTGACTTTTTCTAGTGTTTCTAATCCTCTCCAACTTTCCAGAACAGATTCTGTAGATACATCATAACACTTCTGGTGGTGAAAAATCTTTCTTTATTCAGCTTTAGTATTTTGCTCCAAGTAGTTGCAGTGGATAAGCGTAGTTATATACTGTATATCAGGGGCAGGCAAATGATTATCAAATGTCTTATAAAGACTTATTAACCCACTTTTTTAAAGAGAAAGAAGTGATTATATGTAAAGTATTCTAGATGCTAATTTCAAGGGTTAATAAAGTGTATAAAATATTCTTCATTGGTGGGCAACATCATTTCTCTACTAAACTGACAAATGCTAGACCATATATTGCTTTTAAAACAATTTATTAGACTTTAGGAGATATTTAATGAATATATAAAAATATAGAAAAATGCATTCCAATCCATCTAAGTTCTAAGGATTCAGCACAAAGTCAATAACATGTGGTTTAATGTTCTATTCTAGATTTTATTTTTAAAAAGATAAAGGTTTCCCTGTCCAGTCATGTCCGACTCTTGTGCATGGTGCTCATCACTTTTTCTTGGCCAAGGGATCTAGTGTTGTCCAAAGACATTTCATAGTCATGTGGTCAGTTTGTCTATACATCAAAGGTACACAAAACATTATCTTCCCACTGAAATAGTACCTATTAATCTCACATTTGCGTGTTTTCTAACTGCTTGGTGGGCCCGAGCTGGGGCAAGGAGTGGTAGCTCACCCTGTTGTGCAGTGTTTGGGTCTCAAACCTGGGCAGTTAGCTTTCCAGATGACAAGCTCGGCATCTTTAACCATCATGAGACATCATGCCCCTTCTATTCTAGATTAGTGGTTAGTATTTTGCATGGTATCTCAAAATGGCTGTCAATAATGTAATTAAAATATAAGAAACCCACTCACAAATTAGTTTATTGCTGTTATTTCACCATGATGTCTTTCTATGAATTGTTGCATACTATAATTGTGTTCAAGCCCTCCAAGCTTTTTTTCATAATTCAAAAATTAAAAATGTGGGGGGAAGCGAAGTGAATAAGAGTATTGTTTCATGAACTGTAGAGTTATTTATCGGAATCACTGTTCACTACATGTTTTATAAATAAAAGCTGTCCTTCCTTCCAATCTGAAAGTAGCACTTGAAGGTGCAGAAAAACTATCTTCAAATGATAGCATACTTCCTAGAATGTATTAACCAACATAACTTTCACAATGCCTTCTTACGGTATATAAAACATATAGCTTTATGAATTTCATACATTTCCTTTAGTAATTTTTCCATAGCTTTACAGAAGAATCAGTTACTACCATGCTGTGTTAGATGATAATGTATAAAGATTATTCTACAAAAATGCTTTTTGTAGCCATGAATATATATAACCCAGAACTGATACATAAAAGGCAGGAACCCTTGCTCTCAGTTTCAGTTCCTCTGCTACTTATAGGAATATAACTTCATCAGGCACTTTTTTATTTGTAAAAAAAACAACAACAAGCAAACACTTTATTAAATAAAAATAAAGACTCCAGGGCAGGAATTCTAGAATCCATGGTTGAAAATTGGATTAATAAAAACTTGGATTATTTGGCCTAAGGATTCTAATTTTGTTGTCCAAAAACTGCTAATAACTATTTGTGAGATTATCAGTTGGTCAGGCTTTTTAAGCCATCATATATATGAATGTGTTAAAATTATGGGTTATACGGTTATATAAATTCTAAGCAGCCACTCCTCTGGCGCTTTATCAATTTCTGTAAGGTAATGGTAAAGGTTCCCCTTGCTCATATGTGCTAGTTGTTCCTGACTCTAGGGGTTGGTGCTCATCTCTGTTTCAAAGCCAAAGAGCCAGCGCTGTCCAAAGAGGTCTCCGTGGTCATGTGGCCGGCATGACTAAATGCTGAAGGGGCACGGAACGCTGTTACCTTCCCAGCAAAGGTGGTTCCTATTTTTCTACTTTCATTTTTACATGCTTTTGAACTGCTAGGGTGGCTGGGACAAGTAACGGGAGCTCATTCCATTACGGGGCGCTAGGGATTCGAACCGCCGAACTTTCTGATTGACAAACTCAGCGTCTTAGCCACTGAGACACCGCGTCCAATCAATTTCTTTAAATAAGTCAAATAAAATTACGAAATTATATTTAAAGGAAATAGTTCACTTTTAAGAATAAAAATTAATTGAAACAAGTTATGGGAAACTTTATATGAAATATTTAAAACCTTTAAAATTACAAGTGTATCTGGGTAGAATATCAGAACTTATCTGGGGACAATTCTCCAACTCATAAGTATTAACTTATCCAAAAAATGGTGGGGGAAAGGAGAAATAGAAAAACTAGAAAACAAAGAATATTTCTCATATATCTACTGTACTTCTGTTGTCATTCCTTGATTTCAGGAGCTGGAATAATCTAATTTAAAAACAAAATTGTAAAAGAGTCTCACTTACCCCAACCAATGACACAAAATTTTAATATGTATCGGCGAATATAAGTGTTGAACACTTTTACTAAAGCTATATACATATGAACAGCTTCAAGGGCCATCCAGGTGAAAGTTGCCAGAAGAAAGTAGTGCAGGAGAGCAGCAATAGCTATGCAGAGGCCTTCTATGTCAAAGGATGCAATCCAACCATCCAGGAGAAAGACCAGATTTAGGCCCAGCAAAGCTGTGCTCAAATTCATTAGGATTTTAGAAGGATAATCTCTTCGCAGCTTTCTGGTGATAAATGGATAGAAAATTACAATGTAATCAAGTAAGAATTCCCTCCCATTCATTTTTGACATTTTTTTCTTGAACCTTGAAATTATTTAGGCCATAACAGAACACACAGATGTATTCATGTCTATTGATAAAAGATAAGTCCATTTATAAACATGGGCACTGAGAAAGTAACATATATGCCCATGATGGCGAACCTATGGCACACGTGCCAGATGTGGCATGCAAAGCCCTCTCTGTAGGCATGCACATCATTGCCAGCTGCTCTTCTGGCCAGCTTATTTTTGCCTGTGCCGGAGGTGCAAAAACCTGGAGACTAGTTGGCATGTGCGTGCCAGCCACCTGGTCTTCAGGTTTCTGGGGCTCAAGCACATGCGAAGACCAGCTAGCTGGCACACATGCATGTGCCGGAAACAGAAGACCAGGTGGCTGCCGCATAACAGAAACCAGAAAACCAAGTGGTCTTCGAGTTTACTGGCGCTCTGGCGCACATGCTTTCTGGTTTGATGTCGAAAAGGATCGCCATCACTGGTATATGCGTTTGCTTTTAAGTGCTATCTTTATTGTAGCAGATTGTTTTGTAATTTGGGTTTGATTCTTTTTCCCCCCATAGAAACCAGGATATTATCAGGAAGGCAAAAATCCACGTCTGAATCTCTAAAATAAATTAAGGTATCATATGGATTTATGGGTGTGTGATATATAGGCATGTATGTTAGAGAGAGTAAATAAGAGCTGAATTTTAATATGATATCCCAGATTCTTACCTAGTTGAGGAATTAAATGATTATTTAGCCATTTTATTTATAGGCATCTCTTCTGGTTTGTTTGCAACACCAAAACCACATTCCTCCCACAAATAAAACTTGTATTACTGTATCTATCTGTTGATTCAGCAGACGAAGGATCAGGTTTTACTTTTATGGCATTTTCCTGATTTCTCATATTTATTGTCAATAATCTGAATTTTAAATTTTGTGGCTCTCTGCACAGAATGGTTTTGGGAAATACTGATTGAAATACGGTGGTGTAATTAAAACTATTATTTAACAAGTACTCACTCAAAAGTGATATATGTCAGAAGGGTTGCAGCAGAAAATATGGCTGATATACCACAACCAATATATGTTATGAAAGTAAGGACTTTGGTATTTCCAGAATCTATTTGTGAAGCTGTTCTTGGCAAATCCTACACAGAAAAAGAAGCAAAGTATATAAACTGTTAGAATGACATTTCTGAAAACTGTTTGTTTTCTCCTGGGACAACAACATAGATGAAAGTCATAGGCAATCTGACCAAAAGTACTGCTCATGATATATTTAATACTTGCTGTCACACTTTTGGCTTCCTTTCTACTTTTCCTGAAGTCAAGAGGGTATGTTGTATATCAGCGGGAATGAGCAGTAAATACAAAGCACTAGTTTTATGTCATTTAGATTGCAAAACAATCAGTAAGCAATCCTTCCACTTGCAGTTTCTATTTTCTCAACATTTCTTAGAAATCAGGATTTTTTTCCTGTTATAAGTGGAATCTTCCTTTATAAAAAAAAAGTCTAACAGTCTTGCCATAAATGAAATTTTGATGTGTGAAAATTTATGCTGGTGTTATTTTATAGACCCATTTGAGAACTTCAGTTTGAGTACTATGTTCCAGATTGATAAAAATCAATGGAACATTGAAAAAATGAAAGGAGATAAAACACTTTAAAATGTGGGTTTCCATGGGGTGGTGGTGTCAGAAAGCTAGTTGGAGTTCATGAGACGTTGCCGTTTACTTGTTGATTGGGTTTTTCCCTTGGTTGTCATTATAGGTTTCTTCCATTGTTGTTTATAGATGCTTCTCTTGTAATGTTCCCAGAGTAGCCACAGCAAGATGGATGGCCATATAAATTGATTAAATGAATGAGTAAAATGATGATTGATATGTAAATGTTTTTAAGAATATTTTCTTCTACAAGCTCACCCTTCAGATTATTTTCCCCCCAGCCAGGACTCCAACAGAACTGTTAGACACACAACTGGAATCTTGTGGAAATATTACAAAGGCTAAAAGCAAGGTAATCTTATATGGGAAAATGGGATTGAACAGATTTCATTGCTAAGTCTCAACTATAAAATTTCCCACCTCTAAGAACTGATTTTCCTTAATTAAAACCGCTGGCCAGTTTTAAAAACATGCTGTTTGTGTGGAATGTGATAACGTTGCCATCTTTACATTTTCCATGCATACAAATCTGAATGAAGATTCACGAAGGTGCAGGGGTGGACAATTTGAAGTTTCTGTCTATAGGGTCATTTTCTAAGTGATTTACCTTTCTCAGAACAACAATGTGAACATGCTTGTAAAAGTGGCCATACCAGAATGACATTCTTACAGCACAATTGCATACCTATTTATACTGAAGTTCTACTGAGATCCATAGACTTCCCCCCAGCCAAGTAATAAGTAGAGTCTTTCAGCATGAAACATTTCAGAAAAAAATACTATGATATTGATAGCCTCTGAAGTTGTTGATCTTAACTTTGTTGAAAGAGACAAAGAATATTCCATACTAAAGCACTCAGCCACTAAAGAGGTGTAAACGTTGTCTACTAATGAGTACCACTGCCTTATCCTGTAGATTGGAAAGTCTTATATATTTTTGCACAGAAATAATCCTGGAAGTATTATTGGGATAGTTGTTTAAAAAAATATTAACATTTTCAGAGTGGAACGCTGCCAAGATTCTATAGACTTTCCCTGTCTTCATTTTTAAAACCTTTACAAAAGTACTCGCAGCAAGAGAAAGGAGCCATTGACTTTATTTCAAACAATGCACTCCTTTTTGAAAAAAAAATATGGAAGTAGAATGTAACAATCTTGAGAAGGGAATAGAAAAGCTTGCCACATCACTAGGCCTATGGGAGTCATATATTAACTTTGTGGGTGTGAAGTACTATGACTCATAAGACGGAAGTAGGAAGGAAGAAGTAAGGAAAAGCTCATTCTCATATTGTAACTTAGTATTTAAAGCCTTGTTATTTAAAAAAATAATGATTTAAACCAGGAATTTTTTTATGTACATACTTAACTTTCGCCTAAAATCACCAAAATATCTCAGAGGTTGTCAATATCAAGGCAAAAATTGAAATGATTACTGAAAATAACTCATTGACAAAAAGTTATAGATAGATCTTTATTGATTTTTAAGTATAGAGCACATCTTTTCCTCTCTTGCAGATGGTTCAACAGGGCCACAATTAAAAAAAAAAAAGGAAACTAGCCAGATAAATTCCAGAAAAGTTATTTTCCTAAAACAGCCACAGATAAACAATTCCTATAGCAGATTCTCACTCTGGACCAGAATATGTAAGAAAATGCATAAGGAGTATGTACAGTCTTCTATTTTGCATTATTAATTGTATGCACAAGGATCAAAGCAAAATAAAATCATATGATGTCTCTATCAACACTGAACATTGCTAATGAGGATGTGTTTCTCATGTTTTCCTGTGAAGATAACATTTAATGACACATTCTCCTCTAATACCTAATATCATATTATGTGGTATCAAGAATACTACAATTCAGAATAAAAGAATAAAAATATTTCATGAAATGTTTGGCATGTTCAAAAGCAGCTCATTTAAGTAAAATAGCAATTTGTGAATGTTATCAAAGAATAAGACTGGCACTTACCATCAATATGCCAAAATGTGTAAGATGATTGCAGAGACAGACAGTCTCATTTTCATTTGACTCGGGAAGTGCATAGCAGCCTGTTGTATTCCATCCACCTTGGCCTCCTACAATAATGAATGATTATTAATTGTTAATTGTTATTGATCCTCCTCCTCCTTTAAATTTTTTTGATGTATGTTTCATATATACGGCGTATGAAAGAAGCTTATGAGAATTATTAAAAAAACAATGCAGCAAAAGTGCAACTATATTTCTTTAAGTTGATTGTACCAAAGAAAAGGCTGTATCTCAAATTTCAATTTTATCAGTCCTGTTTAAGGGAAGATCATGAACAGAGATGGACATTTTCATTTTAGCAGGGGGGAAGTCTATCCTATCTTAACATTTATGTTAAGGTTAGTAAATCCTGCTCTCTCTTATTTTTTTTTCTTTTCATTTTTCCCTTTATTTGTATGCCGCCCTTTTCCCTGGGGGGACTCAGGGCGGCTCACAGTTAAAAAAAGGGGGGGGAAGGACAAACAGTTTCCAACATACAGACAAGACAACATATTAAAAAACACAACAGCCACACAATTCGAGTGGGGTTAGAGTCTTAACCCCAGGCCAGACGGGACAGCCAGATCTTTAGGGCGGAGC